AAATCTTAGATCTCATTATTTAGGGTAAATCCCAACATGAAATATTATGCAATAATTTTCCTTTTTGCGAATCTTTTCTTGAAAAATTCTCATGATTTTATGCCGATGCGATGCTCTCAATGGGCTTTGATCCCTATATGAACGACGTAATATTAGAGATTAAACGTTTGTATTTACAGATGTTGACTAAGATTGCGCAGCGGATTTGAGGTTTTTGTTATTTATTTCCTCTCAGTACGAAACTTATTCCTGGGATAAAGAATATTTACATACGAACATAAAGTGTTCCTGTTTTTGCTTGTTGAGGTACCCGAATCCTAAATTTGCTTAAAAATTCCGCAAATTTTTAAGCACTGTAACAATTCTATGACTTTTTTCATTAGAAAAAGGACCCCAAAAAGTTCCCTGTAGAGTAAAATATCTTTTTTTCAGTAAAAGTAGTCAAAAAGTTACCTATTTTTTTGTTTTAAACTTGCTTATCGTCCATTGCCGTCGGAAAAATGAAGAACAAAAAATACTTATAATTTATAAAATAATACCTAATTCATTACTTTTAGTATATTTCCTAAATTCAAATATTAAAAGTTTTTGAAATAAAATGTGCCCCAAAAATGTTGGTTTTTAATTTTTTTACTAATTCAAAATTCTGAGTGTTTTCAATTGATTAAATCTAGATATATTATTTAAATGTATTGTTGTATGTCTTCTTTATTCTTCTTTTACCAATTTGGTTTCAAGATATTTTTTTACGAATTTCTATTTATGATCTTATCCCGATAATTTCAACTACCAAAAATATACCTATGTACTTGACAAATCTTCAAACAATTTTAAATTATTTAAAGTAATAATAATCAATAAATTTTAAATACTGTTAAAAACGTCCATATACATATTTTTTACCGAATAAAACTTTTACAAAACCCAAAACTAAAGTTTAATATACATATATAAATTACTCTTCTATAAAGTTATCACGAAATTCAAACATAAAATTGGAATTTCATTTAAGAAACCCTTGAGGGTGGTGAAATAAAATTTCATAGTAATATAAGAACGAATAACGTTCTTAAAGAACAAAAATTCATTGTACAATATAATTTCATATGAACTTACCAGTTTCCCGCGTTCTAGAAGTCTGATGAACAAATGTTGTATACGTCCGCCACATAAAATTGCAAACTACGATCTTATCCCTCCTCCCTCAACGTGACGCGACTTTTGAAGTCTGAAGCGCATGCGCCAACCCTATGACGTCAATGGCTTCGTTCAGTAATACAGGTGTTTGTATTCATAAAAATACCGCAACGCTCGACGCGCGGACTCTATTTTGAAACAGACAATAAATACTGCCTACAAATCACTTTCTTGTGTTGTCTTGTTAACCGGTACTGCCTTATTTTATACAGTAGTTCAATTTTGTTTCATTGTATATCGTTTCAATAAGTATATTGGGGTCTTGACCTACTTTTAACATAACATAGTTTACTGTATAGATGCTTCCTGGTTGTTTTATTTTAATGTTGCAGTCGTAATAGTACAGTAACATCAATAATAATTAATGACACGTGAACTAGTAATTTATTTACTGCTATTTACAGCATATATATTAAATTAAAATGTGTAAGTTGTATCAGATTCGTTTTATGTATAAAAAAATATAGACATGTGCACTTATTATTTTAAGTTATCTCCTTTTGTTTAATATAAGGGAACTGTTACTTTTTGCTTCATAAATGTGGGACGAGAGCGCAAAACTTTGTTGGCAAGTTGTCAAAGACCCATTTGACATAAATCAAATATCTTGCAATAATTGACAAGAGACTCTTCACTAATTTTCATTTAATTGTATCATTTGAAAATATTCTATCTAGAAGTTGAAGTTCCATTGGAAAATGTTCGTCCATGATCATATGAATTATCATTATGTCAGTAACTTCAAAGTAATTAGAAACAAAGAAACATATTCTACCTATAATAACTACTCGAATCTAAGATACAATATCTTTGAAAAGTTTATTAGCATGCTTAGTGCTTAATACATTTTGTATTGTCTTCATGCCGTTTTTACTTACGAGTCGATACATTTTTTTATTCATAAAACTAGGTTGGTACCATCACGAGCCATGATATACGGATCAAAAATTTTGAACATTTCGTATGTAATGTAAAAATAGATTTTTTTTCTACGAATGCAGATAAGAACATAACAATATTACAAAGGGCTTGTATTTTTTTCTAATAGGCTTTTATTCCCCTTCCCCACAACTTATAAAATTAATGTAATAATATAATTGTATCTATATTTCGTTGTACCAAACTCACTTTACTTCAATTTACAAGTATATCATTTAATTTATGGCTTACATTACGTTTAGAAACTTGCGTTCGATATATATTGTAAATAAACTGCTAATACAGTATCTACGAATAGGCAATATGAATCAAAAAGATATAATTTACTTGAAATGAACTGTTATTTGTGTCTCTATCTCAATTCAATTGTTTGTTAAAACTATTTAGTTTGAAGCAATTACGTTTCCTATAGAAGAGCATTCGTAGAACAATACTATTTTATTTGGTTGTGGCTGAAATACTCAAATGAAATTAACAGTTCTTGGAGCCTTGTCTGAAACACGTGATAATTGAAATAAATCCAATTCTGCCTATTAACAAACTACTTTTGACCCAAATCGAGTCATTAAGAGTATGATTTACGTACGAAAAACGATGACACTGTTGGTGTTTAAGTAAAATGAGATTTGTACTAAGCCTGCTGGTCCAATTATCGTAATTCGCAATCTCGTTCCGTGGAAAGGTTAAAGGTTTAAGAGGAAATTATGAGTAGGTATGAATTTAAAAAATAAGGCAGTAGGTATATAGTAAAATAATATTATTTTAAATAAATGATTCGTTTTACTTTCTTTGTTATTGAAACCATATTTCTGAACAGTTACATTTAAATTACAAATATATTGAACGTGGTATTATTCTTAAAATTTAACATTAAATATTTTTTAGCTCGCACTTTGAAATTGTGTCACAAAAAAATCATTCATTTTCTTTTAACAATTGTAGAAATAGCTGCCGCATTTAGTATTGTTCTGCATCCTGAAAAGTAAACGGAAAATCTAGTCATTGTGATAAAATGTGGAGAACGTTCTTGGTAATTTCCTTTGACAATTTTCTGATTCTGTCATTTTGACATTTTATTTATTGATTTTGAGAGTATAATCTACATTGTCGTCTGATAATGTCTGTCAATTCAGCGCTATTTTACGTAAACAGCCAATAATAAAGTATTAAAATGGCAACAAATTTCTATTTTTTAAAAAGAGTTTCTGCAAATTCTTTAACTTAATATTTTTGTATACGAAATTTAACACAGACGCGTGCCACAACTTACCTAAATGAAATTTTCATCTCTTAGTGAAGCGATGATAATCAAATTCCACACAGCGCTTTAATCGAGATAACTCTGTTACAACGCTCGTGTAAGCAGTGACAACGAATAATAAGTGTAAATTGTAATCGAATGTTTTTTTTTTTCGTTACTAATCATGCAATCGATAGATGTAAAATAAAACCTACTTTAAAACTTTTTGAATTTTAAGTTTCGTAACAAAAACGAGGCAACTAAATAATATTTAATGTGAAATTATTGTTATAGTCGTTTACAATTAGCAAACCTCTCTGAGTTTACTTAGTTGTATGTAAAAACGAATAAGTAAAATTTACTTTAAATTATTGGTATTAATACTTTAGTACGATTGGTTACAAAATAATTAGTGGAATAATATTTTATATACTAAATAATACTAAATTTAGAAATTACTGTTGAAGGTGTAATGTTTACTTTCTTGACAGACTGAAATAAAAAGAGCTCGTTAGTTGCAGTAACCGTTTACGAGCTTTTGCACTTAAGTACACCTACTCAAACATACATTAGTAGATACTATTTTTGTGTGATAAACTTTCACAGATCTTTTTCCGTAAGATTTATTTCTATTATGATCAATATAAAGTGAAATTGTTCTACAAATTTCCAGACTATTTTCTGCAAGTTTTATTTTTGAAACTATTATAAGAATTTATTTTATTTGAGCGACACATAGATGAAGTAGGTATAAAACTTATTTTGTGATGCCAACTGCATTCGTTTTTGATGGTAAGAAGTTTTATTCAAAAGTACTTTTTTTCAACATATATTATTTTACTTCTATTTTAAAACAATAACTAAGACTTTAAATGATAAAATAAATTAATTAAACTTATTTCTTGTGGCATTGTTGGCATAGGACGTTCTTCTTTCGTTTTATTTTGTCATTTGAACAGTTTTTAATATCTATTCTAATAACACAAACCACCTTAATATTTTTTCAAACGTCAATGTTGTATATTGTACTACTTAAATCATTTCAGAATAATTAAATACATTCTATAATATTGTCCTGAACATAAAACAAGATGTGGAACAAAAATTTGCAGATGTAGAAGCTGAGTTCAAAATGTGCTAATGCCTAATTTAAAGTAACGATTATGTGATTCTTATTAAAATTTATGATGTAGGTACAAAATACATACTTTTTTATAACAGACTGATCGTAGCAATATTTGTTTTAGGTTTCATTAAAAAAGACTGCATTTGACACTTTCCAAATCTTCTAAAACCTATTCTCCGGAGCTAACTTTTTTTTCGTTATGCCTTCCTTCGAACTGTATTTCTATATGTTATGGCTTCTCCCTGAAATTGTTAAATGTTCCGCCAATGTCACTTTAGCTAATATAAGAAGGTAGACACTACGTCAAATTTTGACATTGACACTGTATTGTGTAAATATTTATTACCAATCTTAAGTTTGCAGATTTAGACTTTAGTATATTCAATATAAAATGTAAAGGAATAGCCCTTTTTTGGAAAAGGCTTTAAGTTTTTGATTATGTACAGTATATTATCCAGAGCAATTCATCGTATACATGTTAAAAATTGGCAAATAAAAATGACTTTACGCCAGTCCAGTGACATGACAAAGTTCAAAGAATGTCTAAACAAGGCAAAAGAGGTCGTCGTTCTATCGGGAGCCGGTATTAGTGCGGAATCGGGAATACCTACCTTCAGAGGTGCAGGCGGTTATTGGAGGAAATATCAAGCAGCCTCACTGGCTTCACCAGAAGCATTTCGAAATAATCCTAGTTTGGTCTGGGAATTCTATCACTACAGACGGGAAGTTGCTGCGAAAGCGGAACCGAATGCCGTAAATTCTTCAAAATAACATTCAGGCACTTTTACAAAATAAAAAAATATTAACAATTTCTTAATTACAGGGGCATAAGGCTGTAGCAGACTTCGAAGCCAAAAATTCTTCATCAAAGAAAGTAACTTTGATAACGCAAAACGTAGACGGCCTGCATGCTAGAGCTGGGACGAAAAACTTGATTGAACTCCATGGAAACTTGTTTAAAACTCGTTGCACTAAGTGTAAAGAAGTTTTAGTCAATACTGACACACCTATATGTGAGGTTACTATATCTTTAATATAACACATGTAATTTAATCATACATATTTATAGTATTATTCAATTGTTAATGAATAATCATAAGTTATAATCTTTACAGGCTTTAGCTAATAGAGGTGCCCCTGATTCTACTGTTGTTGGTTCTGATATTCCGATTAAGTCATTACCACATTGCAAAAAGGGTTCATGCGGTGGGTTACTACGACCACATATTGTCTGGTTTGGTGAAAGTCTTGACCCGAATGTTTTAAATGCAGCAGGTGATTTTTTAAGTGCTGTTAATATGTTTGCTAAATCCAAAATTAAGTGAATATGAAGAATTTTTTTTAGTTAAAATATAGTCAAACTATTTTATAGTCTAACTTATAATGTAACAAAATAATAATTGTGAATATTATATTTGTTTTTAGAAGTAGCAATGTCAACCTGTGATATTTGCTTGGTGGTTGGCACATCTTCTGTTGTTTATCCCGCTGCAATGTTTGCACCTCAAGCAGCACAAAGAGGTGCAATAGTAGCTGAATTTAACTTAGAACCGACCCCTACAACATCCGAGTTTCACTACTATTTTGAAGGTCCATGTGGAAAAACTCTGCCTATAGCACTTAATATATAAGCAAAAATTTGTATAAATATAGGGATAAAAGTAGATGGATATAAGGAATTTATTTATTATCACATTACAATAAACCATGTTTTTATATAATAGAAATATATCATTTGTTAGCATTATTTTTCGTTTTGTGTCTAGCAAAGAACTTTGCTATACTGCCCATTGCCTGTCCAAATGTGCAATCCGAAATTAAAGATTTCTGAAAAGATATTTTGAATTAGGCTAACTGTTTAGCTGATATCTGTTAAGATTAAAAGTGATGTATGTCTTTAATAATTGTAAATTTTTTGTTAAAATAAAAACTGCAAAAAAATATGGTTATGTATCTATTATGAAAATAATATTTTTACCTGTACAAAGGATGGCAATGCTGCTATTGTTTGAGATCTAGAATACCGTTCATCCACTAAAATGACGCAGGCGTAATCATTTGCATGTCTGACGGCTCTACCTTAAATTTATATACATATATTTTTAACGAAATCAATACGAAAAATCAATCTAAAAATACATATCTATCATTACCAATACACTGATTCACTGCTTTCATACAAAGGTTTTCGTAATATACGCTTCCCGAACCAGGAGTTGATTTATTCAAATATTTCATCTTTTCTTGAAGCTCCAAGGACTTTATATTTGGATATGGCATTCCAACCACTAATACGCATCGACCTAATTCATCGCTGAAAACAAAAAAACACCATATAGATACAAAAGAATAAAAATAAGTATTTTATTCAATACAAAAATTACCTGAAATTTAAACCTTCACTTAATTTCCCTCCAACTACACTCAACATGAGCGCGCCGTTGATATCATCTACTTTATTTTTAACAGCTGCAGAATATTTTTGTAACACCTACATATAAATTTAATATGTATGATAATGAATATTTAATAAAAAAAACAATATATGTATACAGGGTGACTGATGAATTACTCATTCATCAATATTTAAGGAGAATTCTCGGTACATAATTCTCATTCGAATTATGTAAAAAAAATAGGTACTTAATTTTTGACCAAATTTCCGTATAAATAAATAAAGTGTGGACACGTTCCAAGTGTTCCAAGTGTGGACGCGTTCGGCGGCGTGCTGATACAACACCACGCCGCCGCACGCCTATGTGTGTGTGTGTGTGTGTATACCTAATCTGTAGGGTGTCACACGATGCGTAATTAATTACATAACTTTTGGTTAACTTTACTTAGAAGTTTATTAATATTTATGTTATATTAATTTTTATTTTGTCATATATGATCGTCAAATATCACGTCCTCAAGTATCGTTAGTAATTCACCAGTCACCCAGTATATAAAATATTAATTAACCTGTTCAACTTCCGAGGCTGATTTAGGCTCTCTAAATATTATCTTCTTTTTGCTCACAGATTCCAATACACCCGTACTATTTAAATGTTCATACAAAGTTTGTTGAAATGAATACGATGGCAAAAAACATACAACGCCGTCTGGTACGACGTTACAAACATTTCTCAAAATGCGACCGATTTCATTTAACTGAAAAATAAAAGATTATTCATATTTCATTTAATCATAACAAATTTGTATATAGAAGATAATATTTTAAATGTAATAAAGATAAAATCGTGTTTTTTACTTACTAACTCAAATGAGGATCTGTTTTCATATGAGAAATTTAAATTAAGCTTAGATGGACCTTTTGATAGACATATTCCTAAAACATTATCAGCTGGCACAACATGTCCACACTTAACAACATTTACTCTATCCAATTGTGTTTTATCACAAGCTAGGAGAGCTTGGAATTCACTTATAGGCTCCATTGTACCTCCTGCTAAAATTACCTAAAAATATATGTATATTGATTTAAATCTTTTGCTTACATATTATAGAGAAAATATTAATATATCTTACTGATCGACACTGGCTAACTACATCAGCGAAATGTTCAGCGGGATTTAACAGTAGATATTTCAGAAGGCCAGAATCACTCTGAGTTAAGACTCGACCATTTTCGCTGCGATCACAAAGTCTTTCTAAGAAATCTAATATTGCATATAAACTACTGCCTGCAGATATCTCAGATGGTGAGGCCTGAAATTTATTAAGTAATTGTAATATTTATTGACATTGAAATAAAATATCAATCTCTATATCAAAAGATATAAAAATTACCTCTAAATTTGTATTTCCATTACTTTTAGGAACATCTAAAGGAACACATTTCAAACTATCATTTTGTGTCTTCTTTTTAGATATGCTGCTTAAAAAATCCTTAAAGGAACCTTTTTTATTGGTATCCTTTTTATTTTCATCCTCTAGAGTTTGTTGACTGTACCTCATAGAAAATCCATGCAATTTTGGTGCCAATCTAACATTTCTACAAAACTCAACTAGAGGGTGTAAATGAAGGTGATCTATTTCAGCCTCTATGACAAAATCTTCTAATGTATATATTTTTGAACCATCTTTATCATTTAATTTTGGACGTACCATACCTAAAACAGTTAAAAAATAATAATTAATTATACATTATTAAATTAAGCCATACAGATAAAAATAATATAAATACCTATCAGTTTCCCCACAACAAAATTAATTTGATTCAACTGTAACAAATTCTTACTGCTCAATAATGATCTGTATTTATTGATGTAAAACTCCAAGAAGGTTTTAACACATGATAATTGTTTATGTGAAACTGGTGCAGAATGTGCATTTTCCAAAGCCGCTGATAGTCCATGAGCTTCATCCATTATTAATATATTATTTTGTAACTTTATTGATACACCTGTTCTCGCTCCATGACTTACAATACCAGCATGACTGATCAAAGCAACCTGAAATATATATATAAATATTAAATTATCTTTCCATATTGTTATAAATGTTTTCATGCTATGTTGTTGTCTAGAACTTTGTCCAAATTACTGTATACATCAACATCAAGAAATCTTATACTGAATATGTAGTGCTTATAAATAATATAATAACTAATTGTGGCATGAAGATTTTCCAATTATATTGTGTTAAGAAATAAAATTTCTCATTTAATTAAAATCTAAGCAGTATTTCAATTTCATTTTTGTGGTTCAGTAGTTTTAAAGAAAGATGCATAAAAATAAATATTTTTTTACATAGTAAAATAACCTACCTCTGCATCTTCTAAAGCCATTCTTGAAGCATAATAAGGGCATGCTTTCATTTGTTTTCCACTTTTGACAATTTCTTCCATATCCATAACTTCAACGAGCACTTTCTCCTTTAATCTTTTTATATTATTCTGATTGTAGTATGGGCAGGCTGAACAGGCCTTGGTTTTACTTTTCTTCACAACTTTTCCTTCATCATCTTTTGCTGTGGATTTAGTTTTAGATTTCTGCATTTCTAAACACCTAAAGTTTTGTTTTATTAATTGTAAAATAATTAAGTGTTCCGTCAATCAGATATGCATTAATTAAAGTATATTTAAAACTATAATTATTTAATTTTTAGTAAGGCTTACCTTTCATTAATGAGACTAACATTTTTCAATCTATTCACTTCAGAGTTTATACAGTAATGTTGTCGAGAGGCGAGTGTTACTACTTTTGTACCCCTATTAAAAATAGTCCTTTTAATTTCACCAATGAATTGGGATAGCTGACTATGTGTTCTACTGCTGATGTAAATCTTAAAAGGAAATATTACACATTAGTATTGAAAACATATACTGAGCTTTATATGTATGAAATAACTTTGTATAAACCTTTGTAAAACTGTCTTCAACATCTTCCAAAGGCGGCTCATCATCGGAATCATCTTCATTATTTTCAATTTCCACAATCAGATCATCATCAACCAAATTCTCTTCATTTATATCAGATTTTTCAACTTTATTCTGCTTTATGAAGAAGCTATCAATTTTATTACTTTGTGCATTTTGTTTTGCTACCTTGTTTTTCAATTCCTGGAATTCCTCCTGCATTTTTTTTATTCTGGAAAGTTTGTTTTGTAATTGTAACAACAGCTGATTTTTCTGTATTTTATTATATTCGTCTTGAAGCCAATCATCAGAACCTAAAATGAGAAAACAATTTATTAATAAGGAAAAATGATATGAAAATAATATTAATAAATACAAATACAAACCTGTAGTATTTGCTATCTGATACTTAAGATCTTCTATATTTTTAATTAAATCTTCTTCAATCTTTTTATTTGTATCTCTAAGCCACTGTAGCGATCCACAACAAATACTGAGTGATTTACCCTGGTTGAAAACAAATTTTTTCGCAATATAATATAATTATTAATTTTTATATGTATTTCAAGTTAAACTTTTATTGTACTAACCGTTCCTGTTGGACTTTCGAATATTCCAAGTTTTTTGCTTTCAATTGTCGAATACAACTCAGTCATAAATTTTACTTGAATATCGTAGGGTTCAAAAGGGAAGGAAAAATTTGAATTCATTTTAATTTTTGAAATTTTATAATTGGCATTTATAGAACTAGCTTCGATTCACTTAAATGATTATGTGTACATAAGAAATTCTCATCATCAACACCTTTATTTTGAAACTTTATTTGAGATTTTATTAAGATAATATTATTTGATTGATTTATATTCAAGGTAATTCTTAAATTGTAGTATTTATTCGATTTAGGTGATTTACACTTTCAAGTTTCATCAGCAGATATCCCTATTCACTTTTGCCGCCTATTAACAACTTCAAAATTCAAATGTCATAGACATGATCAGACACTATGCTCATAAAAATGATCATTGAACAATATGAAAAAGAAGTATTTTGAAAAGCATTTAAAGGGCACTTTTTCTCTGATTAAACGTTTTCTTTTGTTATTGAATTTATATTAATATTTACAAAAAAATGTACGTATTTTCAAAACAGATTTAACTTTATTAAAATAAATAATATTGTAATTTGTTGGTTTTCTCTTTTAATTTATCAAATAATTTAGTAGATCAAATTATTAACCAGTAATTTAAATTAAATGCTAGAATTAAAATGAACTACTTTGGGTAAATCGGAACGTTTCTTGTAGAATTTTCTCGAATGTGCACGTTTTTGATCGACATAAAACGAGCGGAGAACGTTCTTTGCCTACATTGCATAGAAATTTAAACGCCTGTGTATACTCGTGAATAGAGCTTGTGTCTTTGCTAGGTGTACTGAATCGCAATATCGGTGTTTCTGGAATTTGCTTACTCATAGTTAGCAATTTGTAAATTATCGTTTTTAAATAAGGTAAGTAACTAATCTATCATTATAAATATAAAACTACAGTTTTTATTCTATTAAGTTCAAAATTCCAAAATGTCTTAAATCATGGTATCTGTTATTTTTTGGCATCTTCGCAATAGTGGGACATTATAATTTTTGTGCAGTTTTTGATATGAATGGTTTGTTTATTAAGTTTTCTTCAGATTAACTTAAAGTATTGGCTTAATTTAATTATTTTGCTGTATGAATTACGATAGTCAACAACTAACCATTATCGATTACGTTACCATAGATTCTAACCACACTTGCGCATGTTTTATAATTTTTTTTTTACCTAATTCATATCAGTAGGCTCTTTTTCCCTAGGTTCAATAAGTACTTCTTGTTACTTTAATTATAAAATGAAATATTTTTAAGATAATAAACAAATCATTTTATATCGTATTCGCCAAAAGTTAATCTATTTACAATAGTTTTCTTTTGTTACACTATATTATAAGGAGTTTTATATAATGCAAAGTTTGTATATTAAATTTCAAAGAAAATTTGTATTATTTTCATCGCCAATAAATTTTATATTATTAGTGAAACATTCATTAAAGTTTTTATAACTTCCTCAAGCCATGTATACCTATATTTAGATAAGATTAATATAGTTTACATTTTTATATCCATGTAAAATTATTTGATATAATTTCTTAATATAAGTATTTATTTAGGTTAAAAATGGTGAAAGAAACGACCTACTATGACATATTGGGTGTCAAACCCACTTGTACAACCGATGAATTGAAGAAGGCATACAGAAAACTTGCACTTAAGTATCATCCAGACAAGAATCCCAATGAAGGAGAGCGCTTTAAACAAATCTCACAAGCTTATGAAGTACTTTCTAATCCAGACAAAAGAAGAATATATGACCAAGGTATATAATTTAATCTTTTAATCATCCAATCCTAACACATGCTGTAAATAGTTTGTATTTAAATGAAGCCAAGTTGTGTATCAAATTGTGTATGTATTTTGTGAAAATATTTACTTCTGCATGAATATCGTTTTTTGGTATAATCAATCATGCAGGCTCAGCAATATTAATTAGGACAGAAAATATCTTACTTTCAACTTATGACCATATGACCTTATAAATGATTTCATTATATTTATTTCTTAAGAGTTTTCTTCTGTATTAAATACTGTTTTATACTCAGGTGGTGAACAGGCTTTGAAGGAAGGTGGTGGTGGGGGCAGTGGCTTCTCGTCACCAATGGACTTGTTTGATATGTTCTTTGGCAGCGGATACAGTGGAGGAAGACGTCGCGGTCGTGAAAGGAAAGGCAAGGATGTCATTCATCAACTATCAGTCACACTTGAAGAGCTTTATAAGGGTGCTGTTCGTAAGCTAGCCTTACAGAAAAACGTCATCTGTGAGAAATGTGAAGGTCGCGGAGGAAAGAAGGTTGGAATTAAATATATCTTCGTTTTTTATTAATACAGTGTAAACTCCATGTAACGTCACTCGATTTAACGACAAACTCTCTCAAGCGTCGAAATCAGTTGACTTTGGTTGGTTTAGCTTGTCTACCATACAATGATACACTCTACATAGCGTCACACCCACTCTCAATAACGACAACAATTAAGTAATAAAAAGTACCTTTTAAGTTGCTAAAATTAGTAAAAACTGCGCAGCTGTGTTCGTTTTATTGTCGCTTTGTTATCCCAGCCCGCAATAAACTCAACTGTCGGAATCATGCATACCAAACTTTCTAAGAAGCCTCAATATCGCAACAAAATAAGTAAATAAATACAACAACATTACTGGTGCAGCAAAAGACGTCAAACAAAAATAACAGACTATACGCAATAGCGTTCAAATAACATTCTTTTTTATGTACATAAGTACTAACACTAGTCTGAAATAAACTTTGTATTTTTCTAATTCTGATTTTTCTTCTCTCTATTTAACGACAACTCTCTATAACGTCATAAAATGCACAGTCCCTTCAGTGTCGTTATATAGAGTTTACACTGTATAGGATGTTTGTTTCATAGAAACTGTCTTAGAATAATATGATGAAGTTCATAATATGAGATAGAAGCTTTAAACTATCTAAATAGAGTTATAAATCACCTCTAGACTCAAAAAACATTCTCAATTGGCTATTAAGCAATACATTTTTTGTATTATTCAAGTCGCTTATAGTATGTATAAGGAATTTATTGTGACAGGGTGCCGTGTTAGTATGCCCGACATGCCGAGGTACAGGAATGCAGGTTCAAATCCAACAACTGGGACCTGGAATGATTCAACAAATACAAACAGTCTGCTCTGAGTGCAGAGGTCAACGTGAAATCATAGATCCTAAAGATCGGTGCAAAGTTTGTCAGGTAAATATATATAGATATATAGAATTGTCATTGTCTAAACTATTAAGTATAAAATATAGGTAATTTTTTTATGTTATTCAACACAATGTCTTCTGAATTTAGGGCCGTAAGACAGTACGAGATCGTAAGATCATTGAAGTGCATATAGATAAAGGTATGACAGATGGACAGAAGATTATGTTTAGCGGTGAGGGTGACCAGGAACCAGAATTGGAGCCGGGTGATCTTATTATAGTATTAGATGAGAAAGAACATGAGGTAATGCCCATTATATATATAATTAAATGTAGTTATTAAACCTATTGTATATATTACTTACTATAATTTATTTTCAGGTTTTCAAACGTACTGGTAATGACCTCATAATAAGAATTAATATAGAATTGGTAGAGGCTCTGTGTGGTTTCCAGAAGGTAATAAGAACTTTAGATGACAGAGATATTGTGATAACTGTGTTACCTGGAGAAGTGACTAAGCATGGTGAAGTGAAATGTGTTTTGAATGAAGGTACACTCATTAGAATTAATAACAGATAACATATGTAGAAATTTAAAGTTTTTATGATATTTATTATGAATTAATTTTAATTTTAGGTATGCCTATGTACAAAAATCCATTTGAAAAAGGCCAGCTGATTATGCAGTTCTTGGTTAATTTCCCCAATCGCATTCCTCCTGAAGTCATTCCAGCCTTGGAGAACTGCCTGCCACCTAGACCTATGGTAAGATTCTTGGCATTTAAAAATTTCTATCATTATCAAATTATGAGACAAAAAATAAATTATATTACTTACTGCATTTACTTGTATATGACAAAGAAACCATTAATTGAATGGTTAGACCTTATTGGCCGACATAAAAATATGTCATTGAGTATTATGGAAATTTATATCTTAAGAGCAGTGGCGGCTGGTGGGTTATAAAAGTGGTGGTGCACTTTACTAAAATATTAAAATTAGAAAATGCAACAAAACATAACGAGATGTCAATCATGGCTCAATTCGTCATACATCGGGTGCTTTAAGTAATCTTCGGCTGCTCGTGCGGCGCTCGAGAACCGACTCATTACTCGGTACATTTCTATGAACTATCTTTTGTTTCACGCGTCAGGCGTATTAATGCGTATCTCATACAACATGTATTAGCCGTCCTCGTGCACTCGCCGAAGCGCACGAGATATTAGTTTAATAAAGCGCACAAACTTTTTGAATATAATTAGAAAACTTAATGTTTTTATACGTTTTTATGTTTAAAAAATAAATATTAAAACGGTAATTTAAAAATAAAGATGAAGTAATTTTTTAAAACTTTTGAATTGGTGGTTCAGTGCACGAGTGCACTTAAGGTACAGCCGCCACTGCTTAAGAGTAGGAGTAGTTTAGTTTTAAAGACCCTAACTCCTTTTACAATATCTGATATGTTAAACTCAAGCTTTGATTTCAAATTATACAGGGTAAATAAGGTCTCTTATAGAATAACAAAGTTAATTGAATATTTTTATCCATAAAGGTGGAGATTCCAGAGTTAGCTGAAGAATGTCAACTCATGGATCTAGATCCCGAACAGGAGTCTCGCCGTAGAAGAGCCCACCAGGGTAATGCATACGAAGAGGATGATGATCATTCAGGAGTCAATAGAGTTCAATGTGCTACTGGCTGAATCTCATACAATACTTAATCACCTCACTTGTATGCTATAAATATTGGGCATAGCACTATGGTCACACATTTCAATCTTATACTAAGTAAATAGAAACCTGATTTGTAGCTATCTCATAGCTATTTCATACTTGCTTTGTTAGGATCATCACTGGTTTTGATGTTTTATTTTTCTGCATTTGTAAGATTTTTTATTTATACCATTTTTCAAATAATCGACTATTAACTGGCTCATTTTAACATAGTGTATAAATATATATTGTCAGTAGCGCCATCTATGATATATTGTGAAATAATTAAAAATTGTTAGTGTTCAATAATACTACTGAATATAATGTTCTGGTAGGTCTCAATTGTTAATAAGTTGTAGCGAAAATGGAATTTAATATTTCTGTGATTTGGTATCTTCTAAAAAAACATTTAGTATTAATAGCCTCGTATATTATATAAAACTATTTTTTACAAAGTAACTTGTTTGTATGACATTTTTATTTTAATACCCTGTCTGGTATATTTGATAAATTATCTTTTGAACATAAAAATGTGAAATATAAATGAGTTATTTGTTTAAAATAGTTTAAGTATGAACTAGACATTGAAATGTAACTGGCTGTTTCTAAATAATTTAGTAAAAAACTGAATATACATACTTATTTAAAGTTATTAAGGAAAATGCTTATGGCGAATTTCATTGTTTTAATTGGAGGAACATGTTTGGGTGTGTATGAAATCCTAAAAATAGTTAAAAGCTTAAAATTGTGGTAATTACGTAAATAAAAAATCTTCTCGAACTTGTGTTTATTGTTTTTCCCTTGTTACACCACCTTATGCTTAAAGTTGTACTACATATTTGATTTAATATAATATGCTGACGTACCATGGATGTATGTCGATACTAAATATAGCTATGATAAAAATAATGTTATATAATGAATAGTCATCATGAAACGTATTAATTTTCGTTGCCTAAGTAAAAGTAGTTTGAGACACATTTAAAATTTTACTAAAACTAATTATAATAAAAAATATTTTGTTGGCAAGCTAGTTAATATCACCTTTGTAGAAGAAAAGTCACCAATTGCAGTCGATAAATCGCTATAAAACAATTTCACTATTACCTCTGTAATTAATCAGAATTTAAGTATCAACTTAATGTTTCAATATGATTTATATTTTGTTTTACTACTTACTATTTACCTAAATACAAAATAATGTGTTTTTTTATTAAAATACAATGAAAAGATTAAAATTTATTTTCTTATAATTTGTATAGGTAAAATTTTGTGTATTGATAGAAGTGATTAGAGAATTACTATAACTTATATTATAATCATTTTCAAATTATATATCAAGTAAAATATATTACTTCTAACACCAGAAGAATAGTGCCAATACCCAGGTTGTCGATGATTCAAAACTCAAATGCTGCAAAAGCTTACTTAAATTAAAGTCAATGTCAGAAATATGTCATAACAATCAGAATTCTATTTAATTTGAGCACGTGTTACTTTCACGAAGTTTGTGATGTGATCGAAGAAAATATGAAAAGGAACTAATATATTATTTATATTTGTTGAATTAAAGCTATGTAATTTAAAAAAAGAACTTATTAAAACAATTTACAATGCATGGTCCCAAAGAACTGGGGAGTGAACTCCCCGGTTTTGAAATCCCTGATGTTGAAGATAAGTCAAAGGATAAATCAGCACCACAGAAAAAGCAGAAGAAAGGGTCGGGAGGTTTTCAGTCAATGGGTTTTAATTTTCCGATCCTCAAAGGAATTACTAAAAGAGGTTATAAACAACCTACACCGATTCAGAGAAAAGTATAAAATTAGATTTGTTTTCTTTAAAATTCTTTTTAAAATCATATTCCTTAGATGTTATAAAAATATATTTGTTTACAGACTATACCTATAGCACTAGAGAACAAAGATGTTGTTGCTATGGCCCGTACAGGATCTGGTAAAACAGCTTGTTTTGTTTTACCCATCTTAGAGAAACTTATGTCACCTGGTAACAAACCATTACATGGGAAAAATTTGCGGGCCCTGATATTATCACCTACAAGAGAGTTAGCTTTACAGGTGAGTTAAATAATTTTTACACCATTTCTCTGCTCAATGTTTTAACAGGCATTTCATGCAACATTAGTTATGCTTCGTATTTTACTGTTTAATTTTTACATTATACATTAGTTTTATTTGTTGTTATACAGATAATTATTAATTATTTCAGACATTGAGGTTCGTCCGTGAGTTAGGAAAGTTTACAGGACTAACTTCGGCTGCAATTCTTGGTGGAGAATCTATCGAACAACAGTTTGGTGTTATGTCTGGTTCCTCTCCCGACATTGTTGTGGCGACGCCCGGACGATTCTTACATATATGTATAGAAATGAGTCTTAAATTAGATAATATCAGTAGGTTTTTTGTCTTTTATAAATTTTTTGGTATAATTGAGATAAACAAATCATGATATAAATATTAACTATGTTTGAAACACTTCCAGAGATTGTGGTATTTGATGAAGCTGATAGACTTTTCGAACTTGGTTTCGGTGAGCAGTTACAAGAAATTGTCGCTCGTTTGCCATCCAGCCGTCAAACTTTATTATTCTCGGCTACATTGCCTAAAATGTTGGTGGAATTTGCGCGCGCCGGTTTAAGTGATCCAGTTTTAATTAGATTGGATGTTGATTGGAAGCTGCCATCAACATTATGGCTAGGATGGATATATGTGAGATCAGAATTAAAGACTGCAGCATTACTATTATTACTTGATAGAGTTTTGACACCTACTACACCTCAAGCAGTAGTGTTTGCTGCAACTAAACATCATGTGGAATATTTACACTTGGTAAGAATCAAATCAAAATAAACTTTATTCAATAAAGTAATTTTTAAGCATACATTGAAATAGTCATAAGATTGGAAACATCCAGAAATGATATGTTTTCATTTGCAGCAACACATAAATTTTATGATGTACCATATTTAGAGTATCTTCTACATATTTAGATTAGGCAATTAATGCTTTAGCCATCATGCTACATGTTGTGATAGTTTTGTTTTTACAACCGGCCGTCTGCCTGACATCACCCTGTTTTGGGAATAAGAATCTTCCACATATTTTAAATATATCATGACAAAAACAACATGATTTTCTTTGAAAATACAATTAATTGGTAATTTTTGTTTCAGATACTCAATAAAGCTGGTATAACATCAACTTACGCATACTCCGGGCTCGATCCATCCGCACGTAAGATAGCCCTTGGGAAGTTTACCAACAAAAAGTGTTCAGTGCTTCTAGTTACCGATGTGGCCGCCAGAGGTCTCGATCTACCGTCCTTGGATACTGTCATTAACTATAACTTTCCCGCCAAACCAAAACTCTTTGTACATAGAGTTGGTAAGTTAAATATTTTTTTTATACATATATGGAATAGTATAAAAAATGTTCATCAAATGTTGCAAATGTTTGTTTGTGTATGATATTATATAATACAAATTGACCTGCATGTTAATATTATTAATCGTATTTGTTACTCGATCACACAATAATTAGCAAACTGTGATGCAATAGTTTTTAAACGTGAACATATTATATGTCGCAGCCGGCCGTCTATCACACAGTCTGTTATAATTAGGGCCCGGATTAATATGTAAATACATATTTTTAATTTACGCGATTTTCGGTCTAGAATGTGTTTTTTACATAGACTGTCATATTTAGACTGTGAAAAACCAACTTTTATTTTCCATATTTTACCATATTTCAAAGTTAAGTCCATATTTTACAAGAAAATGTCACAATCATCCATATATTCACAAAAATACATAAAATTTACGTTCCCGAGTAATGCTTTGGATAAAAATAAAGGATTAAATACGCTAAAAAAATTAACAAAATTCTGTGCGAAAGTTTCGAGGGCTGTAGACATGGCTTACAAAATTACTGCATTAAGCATGTTTAAGTATGCACCCATCACGTCATGTGACTTGAGATGAGACCAATCAGCAGATATAAGGCAACATTTCGACCAAATCGTCAGAGTTTTAATTTTGATAATTTAAAGAAGCATGTCATTGTGTATTGCATTGCAACCAATTCGATAGTGTATTGGAAGTTGAATAAAACTGTTATTTTTGTTGAAATAAATATTTCACTACTTTTTTTCATCGGTTTTTAAATGCAACTTAACGATGTACGTCACGAGTGACCCTTTTCTTATAGTAAAACAATGTTTAATTATGAAAGTATTTAATTTTATACTCCATATTTTTTCCATATTTTAGATTTTTTAATACATATTTATCCGGGCCCTAGTTATAATATATTCAATCGTTTTATTTCCAAGGTCGTAGTGCTCGAGCCGGTCGCTCAGGCCGTGCGTTGTCGCTGGTGTGTGCGGATGACGTCGCTCATTTACTCGACCTTCATTTATTCCTCAACGCCACGTTAATAGAACCCTCGCAGGTAGTTTTATATTATTATATTAATAGAATTTACTTTGAAATGATAAATAAATATTAACAATTGAAGTTTAATGAATGTTTCTTTATTATATTATTTCCAGGTGAATGAATGCGGTACATCTTGTCCCAGTGGTGTTTGGGGCGTAGTTCCACCAGCGGCGCTTGAGATGCGACATCAAGACGTAATCGCTTGGGAGAGAGACTATTCAGAGATTGTATGAATATATCTATCTTATAGTTCCTAGTATACAATAGACATATACATAATTAAATTCATATTAATTAACGTTGCGACCTTTACGAAATATTATTTGAATGAATCTTTACCTACCCAGTATATGTATGTTTGGAAACGAAACCTGATTCCTGAAATTATTATTGTCGCGCCGGCTTTAAGGGAAGTTTAGAAAATGTAGTTGAATATTCTCGACGTTACGGCGTCAGCGCCATCTTGTGACGCGTGGACCAAAGTTTTAGCTAATAATATAATAATTTAGCTAATAATAATATTCCTACTGTTAATGTTTGTTAAAAAAAGTAGAAATGTAAATGAGAATATTTTGGAATATTCTAATAATCGGATTGTTGTATATAATAGGGCTAAGAGGTTAGTTTAGATTCAACGTTTTGTAAAACGAGATACAAGTGATATCACGATCTTAAAATAAATATTTATAATTTCTGTTTGATACTGTGGTTAAATTGCTGGTGAAACCCTAGCTTAAAACATTATATATTATCTCTATTTAAATTTAAAATATTTAATCTCGTATATTTTGAACTAGCTTTTGCCGCGATTCCGTCCGCGTGGAATAGTGACTTCCGGCAGATTTTTGGTTCTTAACACATAGTTCCCGTTCTTGCGGGGTTTTCGGAATGGTCGAGTTCCCGTAGAATTTTCAGGATAAAACCTATATTTTTTTTATTCACAATGAAGTACTCTTAATCAACAACATATTTATTTGTTTATTTGAATAAAGATTAATATTATTATGTTGATACAACTTAAACAAATTATTTGAACCAAATTAGGTACCATAAAAACAGGTTTTTGTGAGTTAATCTTAAAAGATAGACATAAACTGTCCCGGACTGTATTTTAGATCATTAAAAGAGCTATTATTCTTTAATACATATTTTTTGTGTATCTTGAACCGTTTTCACGGCGCACGCAAAGGAAGGCTTCAAAGGTGAAATAATTTCTCCCGTTTTTTACACATTTACCACTATATCTTTGCTCCTATTGGTCGTAGCGTGATGTTATATAGCCCACAGCCTTCCTCGATAATTGGACTATCCAACACAAAAAGAATTATTCAATTCGAACTAGTAGTTTCGGAGATTAGCGCTTTCAAACAAACAAACAAACTCTTCAGCTTCATAATATTAGTATAGATAAAAAAATATGGTACCTATTTTGACTGATATCAAACCGTAAATAGACAAGTAAATATATTAACTTGATGGACTTTTTTATATATTTTTTTAATTTATCAAAGTATTTATTTAAAAATGGTTGAAAATATCTCACGACATTTACTTATATCATATAAATTATGCTTGACTTTATAATTAGAAATAATCATTAATTTCTTAACTCACTTAAACCGAAGCTGATATTTTTTAATATTAGAGTTTTTATTTGTAATAATTAGTTTTAATTTTATGAACTTGAATATATTTTCGATTTTTACTGATTTCTTATACATATATTACTATTAATGTTGATGATATTTCAGGAAGAGGCGAGTCGTATATGCGGCCGTGGTTGGCAGCAGTACATAAAGTGGAGGGAGGCGGCCTCGGCTGAAGCTAACAAGAGGTCAAAGGTCACACCAAGACCAACACTACCACATCCCTTCCTTGTAGATGAAAACGATCAAACAACGATAGCCTTGGTCGAACAAATTAAGAACTACACACCAAAAGGAGTAAGAATATTATATAAACAGAGAATTAGTACTTAGATTGAAGAAATACGTTATTACATGTAGAATTTTTATTAATACATAATAAATTAACAAAACATTTAAAATATATTGGTATTAATAAAATAATATCTTTTTGATGTTTCAATATTATTTATAATAGTAGATAATACCTACTTTATATATATTTTTATTAATTTTAAATTTCCACTTTAATATAACTGACAGTATACCTACTATAATAATTTGATATAATTTTAATACATGTTTTGATATGAACGTTGTATTATTTAAAGACAATACTTGAATTGGCTGGCAAAAACGACTCCCCAATGTACCTCGCTATGAAAGCCAAGAGACGGGTCCACGGTAAAATGGTGCAGAAAACAAGGGAAAATAAAAATAATGCTGTAAGTATGCTAGAATAGACATTTTTTTAATAATTAAAGTGCTATGATTTAAGCTATATATTATTAAATATGTTTTTAGGACGACGGTTTACTACAAGATGTGACAAATAACGAAGCAAAGGACAAAGGAAAGAAAAATAAAAAAACTGTCCAACGAGATGAAAATTATATACCACACTTTGCTAGCGATCAACACACAGAGGCAGGGTGGGTATAAAACATTAGGAAATAAGTCCATTACAAACTGAAATATAGTATTTTATGGATTTTAGAATAGTACAACAAATAGTTCTTGACAAATTTCTGTATTTTCTATGAAAATAAAAATCAAAGTTCATATCATAAATGAACCCACTAAACCTTAGGTTACTTCACTAAGTCACTTGCTTGGAACTAATCATTTGTATTTGTATGTCTTAACCATCTGTATGTGTTAGTAAATATAGTTTAGAAAAATATGTATTTCTGGTGTTGCAACGATGTGTTCTTAATTTTAATCATAGTTAAGACTTATTATTAGTTTTTGTTTAATAATATTTATAGTAATTAATATGTATGTAATATTAACATTCCAGTATGGCGGTTAACTTTGCGGCTAGCGCGTCGAGTGCAGAGCTGGAAATGAGAGGCGACTGTGATACGTCGGTGCGGCAACATCGCGTTCAGATGAAGTGGGACAGAAAGAGAAAGAAGATGGTGCACGTCGACCCTGTGAGTATGACGAACTGGCAACGTCGCGTAGACATTACCTAATATATATAATTCTTCTGTGAGTGTGTATGTCACTGAACTTCTCTCAAACGACTGGACCGATTTTGATGAAATTTTTTGTGTGTGTTCAAGGGGATCTGGGAATTGTTTAGATTCACAATTTTGTCCGCTGGACAATGTTTTTTTAATTAATTTTTAATTTATTAGTAGTTGTTGATACAAACGTTTTTTTGGTGACATTAGATTTGACAACTAACTAATATGTCAATCATTCTGTCGCACTTCAAAACACGGAGATTTATGGCTTTAATAGGTAAACTCCAAAAATATAAATAAAAAAACGTAATAGATATTTCTTGATTATAGGGCGATACGAAGTTCGCCAGGTCTTCTAGTTACCTTATATTTGTATTGATTCAATAGATGGCAGTATAAAGTTTAACTTGGCAGAATACACTAGAAGTCTAAATGGTGTGCATTGACGATCTAAGTACAGACAGTGTCGAATAAGTCTATCATATAACTTAGTTGAAAATATGCTACGATTTATGAATGATAACGAATAAATTCCGGCTTACAAAGATATTGTCTATAAAACAGTGAAATTGTATAGGAGTTTATTTTATTATATAATTTTTAATTAATTTCAATCGAAATAACAAAATAACAATGCAGGTCTTTGTGTAAAACAAAATTGTGGTTATTGCGATAGTTTTATTAAAAAGAAATACTAATGTTTTTTGTGTAGTGTTTAGAGTTAATTGTGTATAATTATTTCTCATTCGTATATTTTTTAGGACGGCGGTCGTAAGATGATTCGTACTGAGAGCGGAGGTCGAGTTCCTGCCTCATATAGAAGCGGGCGATACGACGCGTGGAGGAAACGGAACGAACCCGACACGATAGATAACGAACAACCAACTAGCAATGGACCTAAACCTGGTATAATATATAGAAATATAATTAATTACAATATATAGAAAATATATAGAAATAAAATATTCCTGATTCCCAAAAGAGGGTTGATGTCAGGCAGGCGGCCGGTCGTAAAAACAATTAGCCAGAACTATTCACAACATATAAGGCAGACCCTGGCTAAAGCTGGGAAATTGCCAGGTAGAATAAGATTATTATAATATATTAACGTATTTTGCTACTTATAATTCTATATATGTATAAGATTTCACTTCTTTTTTATAATAAGTAATTTAAATTGATATATGAGTTTCGTAAGTGGTTGAACTAAATGAGAATGTAGTTTTACAAAATACTTAAATTGTGAAAAGACAGTAAAGAATAATGAATAATACTATAGTTAAGAATAAGGGGAAGACATTTAAGTGAATGTAATATTTTACGGATATACTACGCGAGTTTATTTTTGATAAAAACTACATATTCTCGACGGTTTGGCTCTGGCCAGATCTCGTCTGCCCGTGATGACGGTTGCTGAAAAGTTGCCGAAACGTCGGTAGTATCAAAAATAAAGTCGCGTAGTATATCTGAAATATATTAGTTTCATATAAATGGATAAAACTCGCGATAATCTTAGATCTCATTAAAAGGAAGACAGTTTTGTGTAAATAATATTTATATTTCAGTGTCCGAGTTCAGACCGCGCTGGGTGAAACACAATGAGAGAGTCGCCAAGAAAAAGGCAGAGGCTTCGTCTAAAGAGTTCCGAGACAAACAACAGATCGTCAAGGAGCGGTTGAGGAAAGAAAAAATAAAGCAGAAACTGAAACACAAAATGAAGCTTAAAAAGAAAAAGAAATAAAATGCGCATTACTGTTTAATAAAAACTTCATTTATACATTAAAAGAGTTTGAATTTTATTAGCTTTAGAGATAAAAAAAGTAAAGCTATATGTCAAATCAATTTGAAAACCAATTCTAATTCGTTTAGGTTAAAACAGCAATATCGTTTTTGTTGTCATAGCAAGGATTTAATTATGTGGTTTGAAATTATTCCCGGATTCGTCATAGTTTTGGCGGGTGTTGCGGCGCCCGCGTATGGTTTGTGGTGGTTGCACTATTTTACTTTAGGCAACGTGAGTACTAAATAAATATGTACGATAATCTTACAAATAATGGAAAATCCAATTTCATTTAGATTTATTATAAATTTATTTCAACTGATTATCTGTTGTCTATTTATTGTATAAATTTCTTTGTGCTGTATTAGCATTTCAAACGAACCTTCGTCGAAAGATGGCAACGTAGAGCGTATCAAAGAGATTTGAGGTTAACAGGAAATCCATATGATTTTCCCGTAAGTTTAGAAATATTGTGGTGTTCGTATAAAGGAATAGAATTTAACTGATACATAAAATTTCCAGGGCTTAGATCCAATCCCCGACGAATGAAGATTATTAAATAATTAATACGTTATTGAATGAAGATAATTAAATAATTTTGACACTAACCACTCAAGCTTTGAAGATAAGGTATATTAGGAATAATGAAAGACAAATAAAAATTTTAATATATGTATATTATTAAAAAAAAATAAAAGTAAACATTAATGTAATCTACTTATATTTATCTGTACACATTGACAAATAACATGGATATTTATAATTTGAGAAACTTTATTTGGACTTTAAATGTCATTCATTTTTTAAACAGACAATAACCATACAATTTAAAGATTAAATTTTACAGACAAAATGAAATAGCTTATTGTTTTAAATCGATATAACGTTACTTCATATAATTTTAATAAAATATTGCACTATACTTATACACATGGCATGTTATAAGGATAGCGCGTTTATTATATCTACTTCACAAATGCCAATTACGCCATTTAATAATAAAAAGTAGTAAGATAAATGATACAATGTTTTAAAATTCAAAATGTATACTTTATTATATTGAATAATTTAGAAATATTCTTGCCATTAAAATTTTCATATTATTTCGTCTTGGTGTAAGTTATGATTTTATAGTAATATTTATTTCTACGAATTGTTTTAAGTTATTTAAAACCAAAAATATATTTTATTTGTTGAATATGAGAGACATGTTTATATTAATAACACACTATTCAGTATATTTTGTAATGACTATTAATAAAACAAATAATTTGTCTTAAATAATAATGTCATCTAAATATGAAATTAGGGTCCCGTCGCTCGCTCGGCTCTCCAACATAATGTCTTAGTATAATTAGATTTCTAATATTAAGAACCTAAGTACAATATAAACATCGCCGCACCCGAAGTCAGTCGAGTCAATCAATCAATCAATCAATCAATCAATCTTGTAAGTTTGGTGTTACGCTATACCTTATCTAGTCAACAATAAATTCATTTTCATTAATATAACATTACACTTCACTATCTATATGATCATTTTATCGACAATTTGGCGATTTTGTCTAACAACAACTTTGGGGAATCACACTCTTAATTTCATATTTAAAAACAATTTATATATATGTATGTACAAAAAAAACTTAAATTTATATCAATAAGAACCTAAATCTAACCTCTTTTCATCCGTGAAACAATCAGTCTTCTCATTGCGAAATTATCATTTTTCTTTATAATATTTACATTTTCTTCCAAAGTTTCAACTACTTGATGTGGAAATTTACAAAGGAATCTAGAATCGATCTCATGGCTCATAGTATTGTAGTGTTCACGATTTCAAACACATTTTCAAGATTTTTATGAATCAAAGCCATTCGATCTCTAAGTTAATTTATGACAATTAATAAATGTGCTACAGAGCTTCAAGTTACAATAATGGACGGGTCAGAATGTGATTCATTTTGTCAACATTGAGATAGGAATTAACGTCAATTAATACATTGGAGCCATTTGAGTAACATCATGGCGATAAATAAGAAATAAATTGCATACAATATTAGTTTATGATTACACAAATATAATGAAGATAACTCTACTATAACAATCTGATTGTACGGAGGAGGTATGGCACTTTACAAAACCTATGATGTTTAAATATATATATAAATTAAATGAAAAACAATTTACACGTGGGATGAGAACTAATAACGTTTGAAGCATTGTGATATAAATATACATACAGACGACTCAACTACATTTACATGTTGCTTATATAATACATGGATTACAATCTAAATGTATTGATTCCAGCGACAGACAAACATACACGACACAGAAAACAACGGGGTCAGTTACAAGTATATATAATTCATAAAATTGTACAAATATATATTAAATTATAAAGAAAATATTGTAATCAAAGCTTTTTTTTTATTTTATCAATGTTAGGAGTGCCGTTCAGGTAAGTAAGGTATACATATATGATACAACTCAACAATCTTCACAGTAAATTTCCAAGCCTTAGTTGTCGTATGAGGTGGTTTCTTATGGTTTTCTTGTTTTTAATACAACAACAGATGGAACTAACACGCACTTAATATGTATCACTCGAGATCTGGTGTAATAACAGTACACAAGCATATGTATGGATCGTCACACTACAAACGTAACGATTCCAGTTTTTCTTTCATATATGTATATATGTTACTACTATTCTTTACAAGGGATGGCTACGATCAACCTGAGTATGCAATCTTGTATTAACAATACAGTTTAGTTGTAAGTCGGTTGAACAATCTGTATAGTATTGTAGTGTGTTTGTTTTATTGATTGTTACTTTCCTGTACGAGGGATGACTACGCTCTGTCTGATGCAATCTTGTACTAAGAATACGGTTTAGTCAGTAGTGTAGTACGGTAGTGTGTTTGTTTTAGGCCGGTTATATATCAGCTAGAGTATGCCGTTAGTGTAGTACTGATAGTTGTCGTATAGTCGTGTTGAGAGTGAGTTTAGCGCGTCCCTCACTAGTCGGTCAACTAAAGTCCTTAGTTGCTGCTCCGTACGTCCCGGGTGGAAACGCGCGCGGAACGAAGACACCGCCGTGCTGCTGCGGAGACACGGCAGCTGACCCGCTGGAACATAGATATATATAGATATATAGATAGTCTAGATAGATAGTCATATTTTCCAACCCAACACCAAAAAATGAAAGATAGATATAGATAAAGTCGTGGCTAAAGGGCCCGCCTTACATGTATGAGAGCAGATTCGAAACCTGGCAAATACCAATGTGATATTTCCGAGTCATACGTACTTTCTGAGAGTATTTAGACACCACTGACAGACGGTGAAGGAAAACATCGTGAACCCCGGACTTGTAATTTCATATTATAAGTTTGAAATCGCTAACCCGTTTTGAGTAGATTTTTGTTTTTAATGCTCAAATCTTCTCCATGTGAGAAGAGGCCTTTGCTCAGTTGTGGGCTCTGATAGGCTGATGATGATGAGGATTCAATAGATATATGGATTATTGAAATTTGAAATATACAACATTGTGTAATTTAACATAACAGTATTTGAAGGTCTTGTGTGTGTGTAGTTTAAAGATTTCAGTAATAGATTTTATTTTTATGGTAAAATACATATAAATTTTTATAGAAAAGCATATAAGTTAAGAGATATACATTGATACATACTTTTATTAAAAAACCACTCGTTATTTCGATGAATCATCAAAGATTATATAAAAATAAAATATTGGGCTTTTATGTAAATAATAAAGATATTTTAATTAATTTTAAAAAAGCACATAGGGTAGTTTTTATCCTAGAATTTTGAAAGGTTCTCTTGGATAGGCGATATAACCGAACTCCACGCGGGCGAAGCTGTAGAAAACTAATATATACTATAATAGTGATTTCTTCAAACTCACCCATCCTCATAATATCTACTAGGTGTATGATCTGGTCGCAGTGTTTCCTCGCCGCTATAAGTCCTCTCAGTATGAGTATCTTGAAGTACGCGAACATGTCCGAGCTCTCACCGTCCATCACTTCAACGAATTCCGGCGTCAACTGGCATTATATAATAATTATTATTACTATAATTCTACTAATATTATAATTGCGAAAGTTTGTGAGTGTGTATGTATGTTTGTTACTTCTTCACGCTCAAACGGCTAAAACGTTTTTGATAAAATTTTGTATACTGGAGGCTGACGTCTAGGAATAGCATATAGGCTATTTTACATTACAATCCCGAAAATTCAGGAAATCCGCGGGGCGCAGCTAATAGTATATATTGTTCAATATACAATTTCAGATTTGTTTTTAATGTTTGGTGTTACTTCCAGTAATGTCTTACAAAATGGATAAGCGAGTGTTCATATTTTTCAAATACAGATAGGTTGACAATTAAAGGTTGCGTTTACGAAACTACAATAGTTCAATATTATAATTAATTATTATCAGTTAGAAAAATAACTCAAAGGATTATATTATAATTAGTACAACACAGAGGGCATCACTTGTAACAATATGGTCATTAATTAAATGTTATTATAGATATATTCCTCATACCTTAAACGGCGAACTCTCAAAACCAAGATTCTTTGGCGAAATCGAAAATATGAACCCGAAGTCAATGTGTATGATGTGACCTGCGCTATCCAACAAAATGTTTCCATTGTGTCTGAAAAGATAAATAATTTGTATAATTAAATTAAATCATCTGTTTGTAAATATTAATGATTTTTAAAATGTTTATAAGTAAAGTTATCTCCTTTTAATACAAGTTCATGTTTTAATTAATTATTTATTACAATTCGTAAATTTTCTATTTCCCTCTTCTTTCTGACTGGCCAGGCCATTACACAAACATGTAATGTGTAAATAAAATTAAAAAACTCTCTGAAAGGAGTTTAATTGATCATATTAAAACTTTTTGGTGTACTTTATTAATAAATACTATTCAGGCTATATAATACCTGTCTTTAAGCTGTAACAAGTAGCTTGTAAGTGCATATGCTGCTGCTGATTCAACGAAGTTGTTCTGTGCTCTTAAGAACCCTTCGGTGGTTGGAGGGCCATGTTCAAGCTCAAGCCAAGCTCGTAATGATCGTCCAGACTGCTTCTTTATTTGATGCAGAGACACTGAGTTCAATACCTGGAAATATAAAATAATGATTATATATTATCTTACATTATTATGAGATTACAATGTTGTTATAAAGTCATGATTATATTATAAAAATATTTTGAGAGATAGATCAAAACAGTAGTATTTATAATAAGTATTTTATATTTATAATTATAACTCAAAATAAACATGACATATAGTCGGCTCACAATAAATATTAATACTCAAAGAATTTAAAGCCTTTATACAGGGTAACTAGTGAATTACTATCGATACTTGAGGACGTGATATTTGACGATCATATATGACAAAATAAAAATTAATATAACGTAAATATCAATAAACTTCTAAGTAAAGTTAACCAAAAGTTATGTAATTAATTACGCATCGTGTGAACATCCTACAGATTATGTACACACACACACACACACACGCACGAGTGCGGCGGCGTGGTTTTGTATCAGCACGCCGCCGCACGCGTCCACACTTTGATCACTTGGAACGTGTCCACACTTTATTTATTTATACGGAAATTTGGTCAAAAATTAAGTACCTATTTTTTTTACATAATTCGAATGAGAATCATGTACCGAGTAATCTCCTTAAATATTGATAGTAATTCACCAGTCACCCTGTATATACTTTATTCTACAAGAGTTCTACTGTATTCTATATTATTTATTACGTTGCTTTGTTATATATATTTTTTTTGTGAATGCATGCTGAGTTAGCCTTTAATTGTAGTGTACTTTGTAAGATCATTGTACATTATGTTGGATTCCTAATAAAAATAAATAAATAAACAATACATACAGGCTGTATAAGTCCGGACTCCTTATCAAGACACAGTATCTCATATGGCCTCAGTCTGAGCGGGACTCGTTCCATGTCCCACACTGCCTGCAACCTCCTCAAAAGCTGCGCAGCCAGTATCTCCTGCCTTAGATCATCTCCGACCTTCACGATACAACCCAGCAACCTCCAACCGGAGAGCCCACCGTACGGAGAAGATGAACGCATTCTGGATAACTTGCTTTCCCACGATTCCTGAACATTCAATTAAATTAATATGAAAGTAACTATCATTTTTATTATACAGGGTGACTGGTGAATTACTATCGATATTTGAGGACGTGATATTTGACGATCATATATGACAAAATAAAAATTAATATAACATAAATATTAATAAACTTCTAAGTAAAGTTCACCAAAAGTTATGTAATTAATTACGCATCGTATGAACACCCTACAGATTAGGTATACACACACACTCGTAGTAGGCGTAGTGTTGTAGGCGTAGTGTTGTATCAGCACGCCGCCGTACGCGGCCACACTTGGAACACTTTGGAACGTGTACACACTTTATTTATTTACAGGCGGTCCTCGACTTACGTCGTTTCGATTTACGTCGTTTCAAGTTACGTCGAACAATGTTTTGACACTATTCCTCAAGCATACGTCATTTGTTTCGATTTCCGGCATATCGGAGAATTCACTTGTCGCAAGGTCAATGTCCGTGAGGGGCGCTAACCGTTTGCCTGACATTGCAGTTACTACTGATGATATTGATGATCTGTTAAGCTCACATTCGCAAGAACTGACTGATGAAGATCTTATTGAATTGGAGGCACAAGTACAAAAGGAAGCACTCGAGTCACAAGAAATAGCTTCTTCTATTAGTGACTCTGAAAAAGAACTTACACTAAAAAAACTTTCCGTAGCCTTTGCAAATTTGAAGAATGCCATGAAAATTTTTGAAGAAAATGATCCTAATTTTGAGAGAAGTTTTAACGTTAATAACAAAATTTGTGCAGCCTATCACTGTTACCAAGATCTGTATGATAGCAAGAAGAAAGAAGCCAAGCAATCTAGAATTGATAGTTTCTTTAAGCCAAAAGTTTAATTCATTATTTATCATTACATATGTATAAGTTTTATAATTATTATTAAAATTAATAACACACAAATACCAAAAATAACTAGCAATTTCATAAGTGCATAGTATATAATTATTTTAAGAACTTACTTTTAATAATAAAGTAGTCCTTTGTTATAAATGTAGTTTTTTTATTATTTCGATTCGGTGTGGAACCTAACCCTTGAGTTTTACATGTAAACATATGAAAAAATATGTCTCGACTTACGTCGTTTCGATTTACGTCGCGTATTTCAAGAACCTAACATGCCGTAAGTACGAGGACTGCCTGTATACGGAAATTTGGTCAAAAATTAAGTACCTATTTTTTTTACATAATTCGAATGAGAATCATGTACCGAGTATGCTCCTTAAATATTGATAGTAATTCACCAGTCACCCTGTATATCTATATCTATCTGTATATATGTGTACCAGTCATCCTTACTAATCTAATATATAAAATTCTCGTGTCACAGTTTTCGTGCCCATACTCCTCCGAAACAACCTGACCGATTTTGATGAAATTTTTTGTGCTTATTCGGTAGCTATGAGAATCGGCCAACATCTATTTTTCATCCCCCTAAATGTTAGGGGTAGTCCACCCCTAAATTTTTATTTTTTATTTTTTAGACAAAATTTTTAATTACTATTTTTTTATGATACAACGTACAAAAATACATACAATCCTAAATTTTCACCCTTCTACGATCAACCCTTACTTTTTAATAGCTATTTTAGTAATTTAATCATTTTTCATCTCCGGTCGATAACTGATCAATCGTCATTTAATAAGTTATCCCCGCCAGATATCTACAGGTGTCACTTCTGACCCAGTAAACAGCACGGAGTAGGGATGAGAACGAAGCCGGTCTTCTGTTTCTCTCACACAATTAGACTTCTCTCACTCCCTACACAGTTGTCGGCCATCGTTATTGTTTGTGCATCAAGTGTAGTAGTAACGTTGACAATTATTATTTTGCTAGCTCAGTGTAACTCTCATATTAACTATTAATCATTCCTAATCACTTCAAAACACGGAGATTTATGGCTTTAATAGGTAAACTCCAAAAATATAAATAAAAAAACGTAACAGATATTTCTTGATTATAGGGCGAAACGAAGTTCGCCGGGTCTTCTAGTATTATATAAAAACGACAAATCTATACTAATATTATAAAGCTGAAGAGTTTGTTTGTTTGTTTGTTTGAAAGCGCTAATCTCCGAAACTACTGGTTCGAACTGAATAATTCTTTTTGTGTTGGATAGTCCAGTTATCGAGGAAGGCTGTGGGCTATATAACATCACGCTACGACCAATAGGAGCAAAGATATAGTGGTAAATGTGTAAAAAACGGGAGAAATTATTTCATCTTTGAAGCCTTCCGTTGCGTGCGCCGTGAAAACGGTTCAAGATACACAAAAAATATGTATTAAAGAATAATAGCTCCTTTAATGATCTAAAAAACCAGCCCGCGACAGTATATGCCTATCTTTTAAGATTAACTCACAAAAACCGTTTTTATGGTAATTAATTTGGTCGAAATAATTTGTTTAAGTTGTATCAACATAATAATATTAATCTTTATTTAAATAAACAAATAAATATGTTGTTGGTTAAGAGTACTTCATTGTGAATTAAAAAAAACATAGGTTTTATCCTGAAAATTCTACGGGAACTCGGCCATTCCGAAAACCACGCAAGAACGGGAACTATGTGGGAAGAACCAAAAATCTGCCGGAAGTCACTATTCCACGCGGACGCAGTCGCGGCAAAAGCTAGTATGAGAATATTTTTGAGAGACAAAACCTCTCAGCATTTCGTGGATTCATGTGTCGGGTGCCGGGTCCATCTTTGTAGTGAGAGGAGCTTCAACAGTGCCTGGGACTTGCGACCCAGTGTAGGTTTAGGTTTAATCCCTATTAATATTATAAATGCGAAAGTAGCTCTGTCTGTCTGTTACGCTTTCACGCCTAAACCACTGAACTGATTTTAATGAAATTTGGTACAGATATAGAGTTGACCTTGAGAAAGAACATAGGATAGTTTTTATCTAAAACTTTTGAAAGGTTCTCTTGGAAACGCGATATAACCGAACTCCACGCGGGCGAAGCTGCGGGCGGAAAGCTAGTATCTAATGAAAAACTAAATCGATGACTAACGGTGATTGGGTCTATGACCCATAAAATAGTTTCGATATATTATCTTAGGGTGACTGGATGAAATTAATTTCGATAATGTCATCCGAAGAACTTCTTTCGATAATATTATTATTAGATAAATATGTCAAGACTATAATACTATCGAATTCAAATATCTCCCCTACTGTAAATCGATACAGTGTTGCCATAGCATAAATAGAAACTGCATTAAATGTAAGGCTGATGACTCACGAGGCATTCCCTATAACTTCCCTCAGTCCAGACAAAATAAACATTTCAGACGAAGTTAATTGCATGAACCTCGCCCCTTCGTCATATAATTGATGCGTGACTAACACACCGTTTGTAATTCCCCTGTTATGTTATCGATTACGGGCAGGGCAACCAAGGGTTCAAATATAAAACGATGCCCAGCCGCGTATTACCATTATATGATAAATTAAACATTTATTGTTATAAAGGTGAGCCCTCAGCTTTAGTAGTAAAGTAGCTAAAGGATTAGCATGTATATAAGCACGGAACAATTCTTATATATTTACATAGTTAATTTGTAATATCTTGATCAAATTCGATTGTGAATATAATTTTGGTTATTTGATTTCAGAGCAACAAAATATGATATCACTTAAAACATAAATTCGTAAAAATACTAAATAGAATATAGATTTGCTTCTAGAATTATTATCAACGTACGTAGTCATTGCTTATGAGTTAAAATATCAATCGATTATATTTATTAATGTATTAAAGTTCAATGTACGTTGTGATAATATAGTTATTATTTGAACTCGATGACCTCAAATATTTTGGCATACAAGTCCATATTTCTGGGTCGCTCTCAGTATTGTGTATTATTCTTATGTTACTCCGTGGCCCGAATAAAGGACGTTGATTGATGTCGCCGCTGGGATTATTGCCCTCGCAAATAATCATTTCTGTTTCAATATATTTTATTGAACGTTATATTTCTTAGCTTATGAGATATAATCTCAGTTGATTTGTTCGAGATATTTTTTATTATAAACATATATGATAATAATGTATGTAATTTGCTGCCTATAGCTATGTATCATATTTTTTCCTTTATTTCCATATTGATTTTGAATCTAGCAGTTGTATGGTCTTTATTATAACCATTGTATTTGATATATTATAACGTGTTTATAAAGTCGTTTGCCTTTAACACTGTTTTCATTGAAGGTCCTCTTAATGTGAGGGTGTTGTAGAATGAGTGAAGCATGACTTAAAGTATGTATGTGTGTGTCAAAATAAATGTAACTTGCATTAGTGCACTTATTTCTGTGTGAAAAAATTACTACGAGCGTGAGTGTTTGATACTTTAATGAGTTTTATGCGTGTCCGCTATAGTTGACTGTATTCTCATGTACCTATAGGGTGAATGTACCTATTTGGGGTCTCGACCTTACTTCATTCAACACGAGAGTCTGAATCAGCGTAGACTGATTCGTTTTGAAAGTAAATGACCGTGTGAAAGACCTTACGTTTATACATATGTATATATATGATAGTACCTTGAGAGCGACAGCCGAGGGGTCCGCTGGGTCGTGTTTGAACGCGTTCGGTGGCGGCGCTGCTGTCGCGTCGGCCAGCCGCCGGCGGACCTCGCCCGCGCCCACCGCCAGCGACTCACGCGACCCGCACGATGACGTAGACTGCACTGACGCTACAGATACAGCCGACACCGCTGACATCTAGCACAAATTGTACATTAATTAATCCCTATTTTGATTTTAGAATCCGTATTTTTAATTTAGAATCCATGCAGTCGAAAGAGAATGTTTAGTTTGAAAAATTGTTCATTAATGACAATCCCTATTTTGAATTTCGAATCCATGAAGTCGAAAGAGAATGTTTAGTCTGAAAAATTGTTTATTAATGATAATCCCTATTTTGAATTTGGAATCCGTTTTTCGAATTTCGAATCCATGCAGTCGAAAGAGAATGTTTATTTTGACGAATTGCTTATTAATGATAATCCCTATTTTGAATTTCGAATCCATGAAGTCGAGAGTCCATGAATGTTTGTTTTTTTTATGTTATACCTGTGAAAGGCTGTCAGGGGCGGGTTGTTTGGCGGCATACTGTGCCCGGAGCTCGTCATCATCATGACTCCAACAGTCTCCAGCGTCCGAGTCGTCCAATGGCGAGTACAGTGACAGTGTCGGCCACTCCGGTACTAGATTCTCTTCGCTCTTGGTATGTCTGATCGGAGGCGAATGAGGCGCGGGGGGAGCGGGGGGCAATAGACGAGGAGGCAGCGGCTCGTGGCCATCTGTTTCTAATACTTCCACGTACATTATATACGGCGCCTGGAAAAAATAATAACATATTTTTACAAAAAAAAAACAACATAGGTTAATTCGAATTTTAAACTTTCGAATTTCACATTTAACAATATAATTGTTTTACGAGTGCGTGTCTTTGAAGTAAAGTTTAAACAGCCGTCGAACCAGTTATTTGTTTTGAATGTCGTATCTATGCAATTACATTTTAAATTCTCTTACGTCATTAAAAAATACGTCATTAAAAAAAGGCAATAACAAAAGACCCTGAAAAGTCATTTATCATTTTATACGTATTTATAAAATTACCTAAAGTTATTAATACTAACTTATATACATATTATATATGGGATATTCAGTACAGTTTTTACGAGTATGATTTGTCAAACTAAACAGATAGTTTCTAATTTCCCATTCATACGTTTGCTTTCATAACATCGTGTGCGAAGATTTATTTATGAAAAACTACAAACTGACCGTATTTAGTTTGAACACGTACTCTTGCTAAGGCTGCAGCCTCCTTTATAAATGTAGGTTATTGCGTATATACTTTACTTATTACTCTGAGCTGCATACTAATGAGATTGTTAACTCCACATTTGAATCATATAATGTTAATACAAATAAACAGAATTATTCGTCTTATTCTTGGTATATTGAAAACCGAGCTTGATGACGATTACGTGACTCACGTTCCATAGATAGTGTTAAAACGAAATCGTTTATAAATATACGATTCGAATATTCATAATATAACATTTTAAATGTCTTTATATAATGTAGATATCACCCACGCGGTCATTAATGATTTTGTGTGACGTCATCAGTTTAATGTTTTTACCTTGTCCTTGCTGTTAAGTACAGCGGCAGCGTGGGGCGGTATTCGTAGTATGTAGTGCGGTTTCTGATGCAGAGGTAGCCAGACCCTGGCTGGTAGGTTGAGGTCTAAAGTGGCTAATTCTGCCCTCAAACGACCATTCCTCCTTTCTTTATCAGCGACTCCAGCCAGACGACGACCGATGTTTGTGAGAGCTGTGAGAAACTGTAACAATCGTATTTTTTTCTAATGTGAAAAGCCATAATAATTTTCACGTGTGAAACATACCTTATTATAAGTAGACACTCACATTAATACATACATTCACACACACAAACACGCACACACACACATATACACTCTAACACACTGAAACAATCTCTCCAACATATTTATATTGAACAGATTAATGTTAAGAGCTCACTTTGTCAATACAGGTCCTATACCCATCACGGGCTCCAGTCTCTTAAACGTATATTTATATAACACGAAGATGATATTATAATATTGTGAATATTGTGTATTGTGTGTAATATTATTTAAATAAAATGATAATAGATAATAGATACTTGTATAGATTACTTTAAGACAAATGATAATGGTGTACAGAAATATCGTGTTCAGTCACTGTGAACACTTCATGTTTGTGGACGTAAAAACAAATGACCTCTATTTAAAGGTTAAAATGAAGATGGATACTTGAACTTTTTTTGTTTGAATCACCATATTATATTAGCATCTGTCGCGATAACGCTGTGGTTGCATGAATCATTTGCTCATCTTAATCAACATAATTAGTTACTTGACGAACATATACAGGGTGACTGGTGAATTACTATCAATATTTAAGGAGCATACTCGGTACATGATTCTCATTCGAATTATGTAAAAAAATATGTACTTAATTTTTGACCAAATTTCCGTATAAATAAATAAAGTGTGGATATGTTCCAAGTGTGGACGCGTGCGGCGGCGTGCTGATACAAAACCACGCCGCCGACGTGTGTGTGTGTGTGTATACCTAATCTGTAGGGTGTTCACACGATGCGTAATTAATTACACAACTTTTGGTTAACTTTACTTAGAAGTCTATTAATATTTATGTTATATTAATTTTTATTTTGTCATATATGATCGTCAAATATCACGTCCTCAAGTATCGATAGTAATTCACCAGTCACCCTGTATAGAGAACGCTATTACTCTCATTAATACTTCACTTATTTTAATACAAAATACATATAAAAAGCTTGCTTTTATTTAAATGTTCGTATAACTGTGGTTAGTACATAATGCTACGTTTTTTCATTTTTTTTCTAATGATGGTAGCATTGATTGAAAGCAAAACGATAAAAGCGGAAACACATGCTAGTGATCCGTCGGAAAACATATACATATGATAATTATATTACGAGAGTGTGTTGATAGATTGTAATTTATTCCCTTCACAAAGTTATCGAGCAAGTTAAATAAGACTAACTTCTTTTCGTTTCTTTGAATATATAAATAGTGTAACATTATTGTTTTAATTTTTATAATTTAGTAGTTACAAATAAATGACTTACAAACGTTTACAAAAGCTTCCCTTTACAAAATATTGAAAAAAAATTGTTTAAAATTATTCGCTGCCTAAAGAAAAGGTTTGAAATTTGAGTTTTCTTATTTAATTCACTATTCGATGTATTTTAATATGTGAATTTCATTAATAAGATATTTTGATTCGTAGTCACTTAAATGAAAATCTCACTGATTTCTCTACATTAAAATTATAATACTTTCGAATTAAAAGCACATATCAGTGCGATCATTAAAAATAAATTAAATGATCTTTAAGAAATATTACTGTCAGGTTTCTATATAAAAATATACATACGTAATAAAAAAATTATAGCAAATATTATATATATAATGTATAGAGATACATTTTTTTCTATTCATTAATATATAAATATAAAAACGAAAAAAAATAAATGTCATGTTGAAATTTCTGTTTTAGTTACCAATTAAAGTAAAAATAAAATGTAGATGTCCTTGGCTTATTCTATTCATGACTACATTAGGGAAAACATTAAAAAATTAAAATAAGTACATACGAGCGAGCAGTAAAAAGTCGTATAGACTGAATACCGATGACCAATTAAAGCAATGGGGCTAACGGCGTAGGTCAAAATCGTCTAAAGTGAACTAACTTTATGACAAAATTTTTCATGTTAGTAATGAGATCTAAGATTTTCGCGAGTACTCATTTAAATGAAACTAATATTTTTTGGATTTTACTTCGCGTTTTATTTTAGAAAACTACATACTCCCGGCGTTTCGGCTACTTTTCAGCAACCGTGATCACGGGCAGACGAGATGTGAGTGTCTGTCAGTTGGTCTGGTCATTTTATCTCCTACCGCCATCGATTTCTTAATTGTCTTGCGTACCGCTCTGGATGCCGGCAAAATTTACAAATTAAATTTATTATTTTCATATTAGTGTTTGTAAAGTGGGTTAAAATGTTCGGTCGAAGACATACAAAACGAGGTCCATCGAGCTTGCAAAAATGACTTTAGTGTTGTAGAGAGTTATATGTATATTATGGACCTACATTATCTTTTGTATTTCACAGTTATAACAACACGTGTATACATATACAAACAGACACACATTTTATTATAGATATATACTATGTATATAGTAATTCAATGTTTTGTTGATATTTATATTTAAATAACTGAAAGGTCTATCGTCATTCCTACATAAATCGAATTTTATCTATTATGTTTTATTTGATCTATATTTAAAAAATCGTTTATAATATTTTTATTCAGTTTTAAAACTATAATTAATAAATTAAAAATATTTCTACTAGGCAAACGAATTCGGAGGAATGAGCTAGTTGAAAATATTGCTCCATGTTTATACACGAATAAACGTGCTTTGATTAATAATTATAATCTATGTATTAGAAGAACTGTTATTCTACTTTAGTCGTGATAACGAATGTTTTAAAGAAACATCTTATAAATTGCAGTTATATTATAATGGCATTAAGTTATAACGTGTAGTGTAAATATGACTGCAATACAACTTAATAAATTCACTAATAGAAATACAAAGTACTACTATATTAAAACAATTTTATAGTAGGAACACTAAGAAACGTTAGCATTGTTACTTTTTACTAGAAATGTAACAATGTAAGTTGAAACAGATAAAAATGGAAATAAACAAACACTACATACACACGAATGAAAATATGAAGCCGCCGATGAAGTCATCAGTTTGAAACGACTTAATAATAATATTTGGATTTTTTATTCCACTTCTCAGTACTAATATAATATTGGAAATATTTATATTAAATAATTTTCATAACACTTAGGTTTTTTAATTAGCAAATTGTCGACCTTTCTGAGACTGGGATATAAAATAGTATGTATTCAATGTTGTCATTGTATATGTATGAAAAAGGTGTGATGAGCGTATTGTATTTACATTTTTACTATCCATATATGTATAATATTATAAGTTACCTGTTTCTGCGGTTCAAGTCTGGGGGCGCCACATGAGCACTGTTCCCCACACGCACTACTACACACACAGCCGCTGTCGAAGGCGCGCCCCGACGTCAGATCGCCCAAGTGTCTTCCGGACGGCGTCGCCAGCCTTAAAGCCGACGCGTCCGACTGCGATCGATGGTGACCTCTCCTAGCCGCTGGCCTTATTTCGTCGGCTAGTATGGAATCTCTCAACTTCGTCGCCCTGGACCTCTTAGCATCCCCACAGAACGCTGTCAGCAACCACGCAAGCCTTAATGAAAACTCAGCACTTTGTTTACATCGGTAAACCAAATACGGCTTCAGAACGTCCGCTACGTCCCCCATTTCTATGTACATCGTTGCTAATTGTGGAAGGTAAAAGTCTACATCTTCGTTTGAAAATGAAAATAATTTGTTTGCTAGGTAGGTTTGAACACCGGGTTCCTTAGAATTAAACAGATATGAGATAGCCATGCTCATATCGAACAGTTTACTTTCGAATAGACGCAGTAGAAAGTCTTTTGATTTCGCTGAATCTGATATACAGATTGCGTTTGTATCTACATCGGGTGGGTCGGGTGGTTTTTCTGTTTCATCTGGATTGCCAGAGTCTAGGCTTTCCCTGGATCTTGCGGCAGCGGGGGCTGGTGGTCTGTCTTCGTCGTTTGCATCAGGTGGAGTGTGAATCCCGGAATCATCTGATCCTGTTGGCACTTCGGGTGGAAGTGCCAGCCTGGGCGCCGGTACATCTCCAGAAATCCTTAACTGTGCTCCATCGGGAGAAGTCGGAGTCATATCCTCCGGGATCCTTTGGAGAACAGAATCCAGAGATCTGTTCCTCTGATGGCCGCATCCTGCTGGCGGCCCACTCTTGTTAGTCACATGTCTACGAAAGAGAAAACTATATATGAGTACGTGTTATTAAGGTCACATACGAGGTTGTTGTTACACATAAGACATATTAAATGTGATATTTAATACCACGACGTACATATCAAATGGATCTTCATAGTGACGTATGCCGACTACTATTATCTTCCTAACCATTTGTTAAAATATATTATATATATTTTAGAAGCCTTATCAGTATTGTTGTTTATTATAAAAATAAACACATCCGATCACTCAGCGCACAATACATTGAATACAAGGTTTCACAGTTATAGCACGAGAACATTTTATTCCGTAGCACGTTATATATATTGTCTTCTAAACAATGTTAAGAACAAAAGTCGACAAACTAGTCATAAGTTATAATGTATGAGAGTCGACATCACTCGCGCACGTCCGTCACTGACGACGCTTTACAGCGAACTGCTTTACGCAACAGTATATACAATTATACAAACCGAACCGCATACCAGTCTAATAAGGATCACCTCGATTACGACGCCGGAACGCGACTGTACACACTTAACGAAATTCTAAATCTTTGCAATTTTGTAGCCTAAAAACCTCCACGGCCGACTTTTTAGTCTTCAAAACACAAAATAAATGCATTCTGGAACTTTGGTTCAAATGTATTATGGTTTAAAAGAAATAATAATTTAATTTTACAATGACTGACGCTTGATTGATTGAAGTGCCAGCGATGTAGGGCACACACCTTGTTTAATAACATGTGCGAATGTTTAAATTAATATTCAATGTGCGAATATACAACAGTTCCTTATTTGTTCAGCCCTGTATAACATGATTCAGAAAGAATTTTAATAACACGAGTGTTACACTACTATCATACAATAATACTATTGAGAAAAATTCACCGATTATTTAAATTCATATAAATTAAGTTAAATTACTTTATTCGTATGATAATAGGCTGTATAAATTATTATTCAGGATATATAATTTATAATAACAGTACAATGCACGCGAGTACTTAGATCATGCGTCAACGATCCCTCTATAGCGTCAAAAGGAAACGAATTAACATCGTTATTTTAGGAATGTTATCGGGAATTGTGTATATAGTGTGTACTGTAGAGCGTGCTCCGTCAACTCTCAACAGATGTGTCAGTGAAATAACGGTCTTTGGATATTTTAAGTAGTACCTATATAATGGAATAAGTATTGGGATTAAGTTACGTATTTACAATATGATAAAAACCATATTACATTGACCTCTTAACATAGTCATTTGTATAATTATAAACTTATTTTTATTATATTTAGTTTATATTTTATCTACAAATCTAATAAAAAAAACGTGTTCCAGAACAATTTTGTTTCGATTACATTTATTATATAAAGGTTATGTGAAGTCCAGACTTTAACTGTGTTTTGTAATTTAATTAAAATTGTAAAAATTACTTTAGTTCACTATAACAATAAGTAAATAGTAAATACCTATAAGTCTTGTGAAGCTAAGTTTAATATTTTAAAAATAATACCAGAAAATAATGATATAAACATACGTAAATAATGATTTAACAACAGCTCATGATTTAATAAGTCTATAAAAAATATTTCAGTCTAATAAAATTTACTTTTACTTAGACAAAAAAAGTGTATTGAATAATGTCATCCGAGTTTACCATAAATATATTTTTTCCTCAATCCTTACACCTCACCTTGCCTTGAAAGGGTTGAAACGAAGACCTTCTCATTTAATAGAACTATTCGTTTATTCTAATAGATTCTAATTTAGAGTTTAAATATAAAACTCAATGAGTCATCTTGCAATTTTCGGTGGTCAGAAGAATTACAAAGAATTATATATTAAAAGAAAAAAACTAAGTAGAGAATAGATAACAAACTTAAAGAGAAAGTATTAGTTCATATACATTATACACCAAGAATTCATGAGGCTGAGTTTTCTGTATATATACATTTTTATACATAAATATATGTATATGTGTGTGTGTGTGTATATGTATATAAATTTGTTTTAGTGTATGTTATTTTAGATACATGAAAGTTGTCTTGCGACCTTGCAATATCTCATTACAATCTACAGTCGCTTACTTTAATTCGATCTTATTCACACCATTTATTTTAAAGTTATTCGACTCTGCGAACTATTTTACTATACGGATTAATTTTGTCTGTTTAATAAAATAATATTCTTAATGTTCGCATTTGAATAATGACAATGGCTGAGATTATTACGCGATAACTTAAAGTTATTGAAAAAACCAAAGTAAAATGCAATAGTAATAAAATGTCCCAATAAATTTATATGCAGAGCTCATAGTATTTGCAATGTAAATTATTAGCTAAGAGAATTCTCGAAGACTTCTGGGCCGTAACATGAAATTATGTAAGTTTTCATGTACATAACACACAGGATGTTTTTATGTATGTAATATATTTTAAATAATAAATAGTTTCTTATTTCCATTCCGATAAAAATATATACTAATTCCAATTCCAATTAAATTTTAAAACCAGTTGTGTAATACGCACCAACGACAATATATAAAACAATTTCCTTCGTATTAATTAAAGACATTAAGAATAAATAGAAATATATATACTTAATAAAAGTATATCGCTTAATTGACTCTCAATTTGTACAAATGTACAATATTCTGTCCAAAGTGAGCATGCGGGTATGTAATCTAATAAAGAAATAAGCCCATTCCACTTATTAACGGTACCTCGCATTTATCATACGGCTTCTACGACACTCTCACTTCATAATATAACGCAACAATTGTTTTTATAAAAAAATACGCAACACATCTAACTCAGTTAATATTTATATTACAAAAAAAACTCGGTCAAATTCTCTCTTTGGTCATAGACATCACGTAAAATTTTATCATTCGAGTATTATTTGAACATCAGTAAGCCCTTGTAAATAAATTAAGTATAAAGTATATGTGGCAAGTGATACGTATAACGTAACATCTTCACAGGTAGTGCACATATAACAAAACTATATTTACTGATTTAATATAATGATTTTCAAATGACATTTGAATAACTTTGCTGTGACCGACCGTATTCAGTATGGAACAAAAAATATTTGAATACTTCAATGTAATACAAAACATAACATACAAATTTATATATCAAAACTCTTTATATGACTTGTGTGAATTTTTGTATCTAATGTTTCCTTTTCCGTCCTTACCAAACAAATATATAAATATTTCTTAGTACATACCGATATTATATAAATTGTGACGGTATTTTATTTTTTATCGAATAATAGTTTTATTAGTGTGTATGTAAATTAACTTATAACCACAGGGCACAGGTACACATTTTCTTGGTATGAACTGTTTGTTATGTTATAATGTATGTTCTATACATTTTCTTTGAAAGTATTACATGTTAATGTTCAATCTTTTTCTCGTTAGATGAATGCGATAAACCACAAAAACATTTAGTTTACATTTTTGAACATCAATTAGAATAGATAAAATTTATCATTAATTATAATCATGTAGACCGTCTGCTCGTTTGTCCCTTTCATAATAACATAGATCTATAAATACTATATAATCACAAGATAACTCCGCTATCAAAGATTTTTTTTAACGAACATTACGTGATTTAAACAAAAAATATTTGATAACACATGATCTAAATTACAAAGTATATAATTTTTGTCTTACGCAATTGTATCACAGCGTAACTTCATCTGTGAGATTGGAAGAAATAGTGCTTTTAATTCATTATATGAAGACTTCCTTATAAAGATGACATCACACATAATTTAATGTGTTGCTTCGAGAAATCCATATTAAATTGATACAAGATGTAAAATTTTGTTGTACATATTATATATGAATTTCCTAGTATAGGCATGCGGGCCTAACGACAAATCTGTTGAAGATAAGAAAATGATAGAAATTTAACGCTATATACAGCAAGAGATATAGCAGTAAGCACTAGGGGACACCGAGCTATTTATAACCATATGATTGATTTAACGTCTTCGTGAACTATGATACATACGAAATTATAAATATTCTTATAGTGTGTTAGAAATTTATTATAAATTTATATCTCTCCTACGTTACCACATAAAACTATACGTACTGAGTGAACCGTTATACTTTTGTGATACAGACATTATTTTGTATGTGCGTAAAGATGTGGGAAAATGGTTAGATTTAAAAAAATAATTAAAGTAATTATTTTATATACAATGTATCATTAAATATTTGAATTTAAATTTCGTTTCTATCTGCACTGTTATTTCTAAAACAGATTGAAATTACAGATTATTCTTATATTAATTATAATCACAAATATAGAGGCGAGTGAAATAAAATAATTTAATTATTTGTTGTTTACATACTGATAATTGGAAACAGTTTATCAAATCAGTCCTCACAGTCTCTGTTGAAATAGAAAATGAAATACATTATTTACTTTATGAATCATCGTATATTCAAAATATTTGATAATTCATATGTTATATGTTAGTGTAAACATCAAGAATCGATGAACCGGAGGTCTTAAGTGTGTTCAGTGCAAAGCAATTAACTCTGTATACATAATCACATTCCAAATACATATTAAGTAATTTATTTGTTAACTGTTAACTTGGTTACATTATAACTGGATTGTTAAACTATGCTAGCAGACGTTCATTTTGTAAACATTTTTTTTTATCAACTTTATTATTATTCATAACCTGCTATGAAATATTTTTTATATATTGATATTGCGTAAGTCTATTACTAACTGTCCTTAGAATCTCGTTTAGTTATTACGTGTTATATAATTATAGGTTTTCTAAATTTTCAATAGGTACTAAATTGACCTCAGAAGATAAAATGACCTATCATTTAAAAACTTACAATAACAAAACAAGTCTACTTTAATATTAATTTAAACAAACCAATTTAATACTAATAACGAAAACATTTTGAATAAATTTGAAAACGAGTTGAAATAAACTAAATACGTTATAATAATGAGAAATGAAAATATATTTCGTGTAATTTACTTAAATTATATTTTTATCTTTCCATGGTCGCTACTAAAGCGTTTTTTGTTCGTGCTTTTTTGCTTGCAATCTTATTGTTTCTATTCTACGGAGCATAACGCAAATGTATTGTGAATTTATCGAGCTCTCCTATCAA